AGAAGACGATTTTATTTTTATCGTGATATTGGTTATTAATTGTTTAAAAATGAATGAATGATTTCGGCAACAAATAATAGGAAAAAAGTTTCGAACAGGCATTCGGTCCAATAATCTTGTTTCTGTGAAATTGATAGAACCAATGTTGTCGCATTCGTGTAATCTTATCATAGGATGTATCTGTGCATTTTTTGTGTGTGTGTCAGCGTTGTGATAGTAGAAAAGATTTTTTTTTAATTCAAGACGGTTTAAAACACGATTAAAAATCATTTCGAGCAGCTACGAAGAAAATTCCGAAGCGACCGTAGAAAGCCAGCTGAATCTTTATTTATACTTACAGGGATACCAACATGTCCTCCCGCAAAACTGCCGGCCGTCGTGCAACGACAAAGAAGCGCGCGCAGCGCGCCACATCCAATGTTTTCGCAATGTTCGATCAGGCCCAAATCGCGGAATTCAAAGAAGCTTTTAACATGATCGACCAGAATCACGACGGTTTCATCGATAAGGAAGATCTCCATGATATGCTTGCTTCTCTAGGTTGGTTGGAATTATTCACACATTTTTATTTGATTTATGTATAAATAAATCATGTCGATTACATCATAAAAATCATATTATTTTAGGAAAAAATCCAACCGAAGATTACCTCGAAGGCATGATGAACGAAGCTCCAGGGCCAATCAACTTCACGATGTTCTTGACGTTGTTCGGAGAGAGGCTTCAAGGCACCGATCCGGAAGACGTTATTAAAAATGCGTTCGGTTGTTTCGACGAAGAGAATTCCGGTCATATAAACGAGGAACGTCTCCGCGAGTTGCTCACAACGATGGGGGACAGGTATAATGTTCCACAGAAATATATAATAATAATAATATATATATATGTAATAACAATAATAATATATGTAATAATATATATATATATATATATATATATATATATATATATAAAAGAGGGTGAAATCAATAATTACTTCTCTCATTTAAGATTTACGGACGACGACGTGGACGAGATGTATCGCGAAGCTCCCATAAAGGGATCGATGTTCGACTACATCGAGTTCACGCGAATCTTAAAACACGGAGCTAAAGACAAGGACGAGCAGTGAGCGAACCGTGGAGCCATCTGTACTTTGTATTTGTGTGATCGATCGCGCATAAGCGCACGTTTATACTATGGTTGCAATTGTAAAGTTTGAAATATTACTTGTATTTTGTACATCCTCTATTAATGAGAATAACCGAAAATCTAGAGTTTATATTATTTTTCGAAAGAGCCAGCCTTATCACTGGAGCACGTGCTGAAAATATGTAGACTCGAGAGAACGTATAAAAAAACGTTCATCGTATTTATTTTCCAAGGATAAAAAGCTAGAGAACGAAACTCTGAATCTGTCTTGCCATAAGCCGCGCGGTCGCTGCCGTGTTTAACGAAACTGATGTATGTAATATATTATATGCTACATGAATTTGTAGCCGTTGAAAAGTTGGCATTTATATTTTAATATAATATTGTACACCAAAAGCGTAGTGTCTTTATAACCACTCTATTCGACGTTTCGAGAAAATTCGAAAACAGAACCGGGGAAACAAAAATTAGCATTTTCTTTCATAAATCGATCGAATTATTTTGTCGCACAAGCAAATATAAAACTCCGCAGAAGTCTGTGCAACGTTGAAATCTTTTCAATTCAAATCCCTTCGAATCGATCGTGAAAACATTAATTTTCACCGATGTATGCAATAATTATAATAATAATAATTAATAACGATGTAGAAAAATCGATTGTTAAAAATCCGAGTAATCGAATAAAATTTTCTGCAACGTGTGTTACAACATTTAAAGATTATTCGAATATTTTCTTTGTAATGAAAATACTTTAGCCGTATCGTCGAGCTGATGAACAATTAAACAAAAATACTTGTTTTTCGATTGCGAGCGGGAAATAAAATATTTCAATAATAATTAACCTAAATAAAAAACGTTGGCCGACTCTGGTGCGAACGTTTGAAAAGTGGCCTGGCCCGACGACCGACCGACCGAGCGAAGGAGCGTTCTGCGTCTGCGCGCGGCCGTTTATGTACAGTGTATACACGGAATAAAATCCGACGAAGCCGCAGTATCATTTCCACTGGTGGCGGAGTGGGGTCTGGCTCGTCTCTGTTGGTTTCCTCTCGGTTCTGCCGCTTTCCCCGTCGCGTCCTTTCGCTCGGTGGTTGTTTCGTTCAGCAGCGACTGGGACAACACAGGAGCCACCCGGTGGATAGGATACCCGGCTGCCCAGTGGATCCAGGAGCATCGGCGCTCGCCGATCTCCTCAGCTAATCGGATTCGGGCCGAGGATCCTCCGAGACCGCGACTGTCGTCCGTCATCATCGATGATCCACCGTCGCTCGCGCGGTGTGTTTACCAGTTTGGTGGATGTTGCCCACAGTGAAGCACCGTGCACCGTGTAGCCCGCGATCGTCGTTCTCGCCTGGTATCAGTGAATCTCTTCGGGCGAAGGAACACCGACTCGCCGCCGATCGGTACGGAGAGAGAAAGAGAGAATGAGACGAGGGACGGAAGCAGAGGCCGAAGCTGCCAGCCGCGAATTGGGTTACGTCCCGTTCGCCTGGCGACGATATATGACGCAACGGCCACCCTTCGCGAGTACCAGCGGTCCTCGTAATCTTCTTGTGTCGCTTTAACTGCGACAGGACACTCTCTCTCTCTCTCTCTCGCCCCGTCCCGTCCCATCTCGTCTCGACTCGTCTCTCGTCGATCGAGCAGTGTCGCTTGTTGTCACTTGGGACACACGCGGAAATAATCAGCCGCGGTGTGCGCTCTCCGTGCATGCGATCAGCTATCCCCGCCCCGTCGCGTCCACTCGATTGCGCAGCCAGTTTTGGAGGTTAGCCGATCACGATTGAGAAACTCGAACGAAAGCGACACCCACCGAGCGAGCCAGCCGGATCAGCTGTTTCCCCAGGACGACCTTTTCGCCGCTACCCCGGTGAGTCCGCTCTTTCTTCTTTCTCTTTGTCATCGTTAGTTAGACTGTCAACCGGGCGACGGCGAGTTTCCTCGTCCTTCGATGACTTCCGGTTTCTCTTTCGTTTCACCTTTAATTCAGGAGCTCCTGCGATGCGATTCAATGGTTACACTATATATATATATATAAAAGCTGCACCTTTACTGTCACGTACTCTTCGACATCTTTTTTAATGCTCGGTTATAAATTTCGTCCGTGTTCAGTGAAACCAGCGAAGCGATTGAAATTTATCGAGTACCAGAGGCAAAGCGTAGCATGAAACCAAGAGAACCCTCGAGGCACAATTAGCTGCAGCCAAGATGTGAATTTCTAAATCTCTGTATTTGTAATATAGCCTGAATAATAATATTCTGAATCCCATCTGAACAGTCGAGAGTCGAGTAATTTTTTTTGCTTGCTGCGGGGCAGGTGTTGTTGCATTTTATTGTATTACTTAGTTGCAGTGTTAGGACAAACGACGTTACACGGGGGTGTTTTCGAATCGAACTTTTGCACGGATTCGGATTCGGGCCGTTGGGGGTGTCCGCGATCGAGAGATCATCCCGTTAACACTTAGCCAACCGAATGGGGAGATCTCCCCGTTTTAAATTCAGTATATAATAAAAATTATTTTATATTATATATAAAAATTCAATATAAAAATGATTGCTTAATTTTATGAAGATTTGCGAAAAGTACGAATGCCGATGAAGTAATCGAGGCCATATAAGTTTGTTTCGTAACTTTTGTTTGATCGAATGAAATATGTTAATTTTATGAAAATTTTTGAGCTTTCCAGCGCGGTCGTGTACGTGTTAACAGGTTAAATTCCCACGAATTGAACTCGGGCGCTACCAGTTGGGCGTCCTCCTTCACGTTTCGAGTCTATTGCGCAATTGTTGCAACTTTTTTACGTAGCAGATCTTGGTCGTAATTGCAGGCTCGCGACCGTCGGAACTGTTTTAAGAATTTTCCAACGAGTATCGGCGCTTTGTTCGATCAGATTCCACGAGTTAAAGTAATTCGCGAATGTGGGGGAGGGTTGCATATATATATTCGGACTCTGAAGCGTACGTCGTCAATTTATACTCGAACTGCGCACCATGCGTTTATAGCACGGAAAACCTCCGACATTCAAACGAAGTGATTTTCTCATCGACAACTATCGAATTATCTAAAACTACCGGCTCGAGGCTATATTACAAATGCAGAGATTTAGAAATTCACATCTTGGCTGCGGCTAATTATGCCTCGAGGGTTCTCTTGGTTTCATACTTTATTGAGATGAATATTAGTGTGTCTAATTTTCTTGTATAAAACGTCCTGTTGCATTGTGTTTAATGAATTTTCTCTCTCTCTCTCTCTCTCTCTCTCTCTCTCTGTGTGTGTGTACTATTATTGTTACTATTGTACTATATTACAAATACAGAGATTTAGGAATTCACATCTTGGCTATAGCTAATTATGCCTCGAGGGTTCTCTTGATTTCATACTACGCTTTGCCTCTGGCTTTTATTGAGATGAACATTAGTGTGTCTAATTTTCTTGTATAAAACGTCCTGCTGCATTGTGTTTAATGTATTTTTATATATGAGCCGTTTATTTTGAAAGTGGCATAAGTCACTTTACCGTAATGAAAAGTGGTGATTTTTTTAATGTTTATACGAAATTATTTATACTGAGAAAAACATCAGTATCCTGAGATAACAAATACAAGTAAATCTTCTCGAAAGTTAGCATCCATATTTTTAAACGTGTTCAAACGCAAACCCTTAAATATATCGACTTAAAAACAAAGTGACTTATGCCACATTCAAAATAAACGGCTCATATCTCTCTCTCTCTCTCTCTCTCTCTCCCTGTACTATTATTGTTAATGTGCATAAAGGGCAACATGCCCTTTAATATATAAATGATAAATATTATGCCGCAACGACACTCGTCGAGCAGTCCTGCAGGTGGTAAAAAATATTTTTAAAAAAATCCATACGAGTATTTTTAACCGATAAAATAAGAAATCACTGCTCGACGAGTTCTATTGCTATTGCAAGTGTTCGAGCTTCGTTTACCGCCGTTTTAATTCACGAGCGAACGATCAGAAACATGAATCTGTCTCTACGGTATTTAAACGGGCTCGTTTGTGTTTATCGTATGATAATGTCTAGGCATTTAGAGTTGCATGTTGTTGATTACAATATGGCCGTTTAAATGAAGCGAAGCGAAATAAAGGGAATATCGGAAAATACTCCGCGCAAAATAGAGGGGCGAGTTATAATGAAACGCGAGCGAGACACAAGAACTTTCACGGAAATTAAATAGAGATTCTTTTCATGTTTCCTGGAATAGACACCTTAGTTAGAGCGGGACCGGACTTTATCGTTGACATTACAAACTACTCCTACGACAGTGTAAATCAGGGGTGTCAAACTCGCGGCCTGCGAGACTAAGCCTTAGTGCGAAACGGACTCCATTTCGGCCAATTAGAATTTTACATTTTCGCGCGTACAATTTAAAATGATCCGTATAGTTTATAAATAATATATATATATAATATTATATTATATATAATATTAATAATATAATATTATATATTATTATACATTATTATATTATATATATAATATTATATTACTATAATATTATATTATATTATATTATAATATTATAAATATTATTATATATATATATATAATTTTGTATGCTGGTTTCATTTCTAATTCACATTTCTATTTTATTTTTACTTTGCGTCGGATATATTGACTGGGCCGCAAAAATGTTCATCTCGGGCCGCATGCTATACTATAATATTATATTATAATATATTATATTATATATAATATTAATAATATAATATTATATATTATTATACATTATTATATTATATATATAATATTATATTACTATTATGATATTACTATAATATTATATTATATTATATTATAATATTATAATATTATAAATATTATTATATATATATATATATATATATATATATATATATATATATATATATATATATATAATTTTGTATGCTGGTTTCGTTTCTAATTCACATTTCTACTTTATTTTTACTTTACGTCGGATATATTGACTGAGCCGCAAAAACGTCCATCTCGGGCCTTATGCGGCCCGCGGGCCGCGAGTTTGACACCCCTGGTGTAAATCGACTGTTCACAAATTAGAGAACGCGAACGACGCGCGACAAGCATGAAATAAAAATACGAGACGCGATGCGACCGTTCGTTGCGCGAAATGGCACGTACAAATTTTGCGAACGTATCGACGAAAGGTAGGCAACGCGAGAGTTGGGAACAACATTCTCCCTGCAAAGTGGGTCGCACTCTGAAAAAGTATGGGAACCGCTGGCCTATAGGAAACGGATCCTCCTCGCGTTTCGCTGCGATCATCGAAAAATTTCCATCCCAGACAAACGTAGTCTCGCGTTTCAAGTGGAATTGAGAATTGCAAATGGCTCGACCGTTAAATCGAGCGTGGATAGTTAATATCGAGAGCGGCGGCAAACGGGCAGAGCGCGCGCGTGACTATGGATGAGAGAGCATCGTCGAAAGGAACGCGTCGCGTCGCGCGGTCTTCGTCGAGCGACTCGTTCGCGTTCGACGAGTGTTGTCTTTTATTGCGTCTCTCCGTAGTCTAGACGCTAATTGAGAAAGGACGAACCGCCGTCCGGCGAAAAATAGATCTTTCTGGAGCGCGGATCATCGTTTGAAGGGGAAACGTGTACGTCGCCGGCGCGGATCGTCCACGGATTTGATCGAATCGCAATAGGAGCAAAAAAGGTAACCGTGCACACGTTGCGTATATGCTCTCTGCGCGTAACACGATCCAACGCTCGGACAACCGGTCGTGTGTCGCTTTGATATTGCGTAACGGCGTTCGCGCGACCACGGAACAATAATAATGAGACGGTGTTACGAATTTAACCTGTTAACCCTTAACGTGCCAATTTTATTTATCTCGAGAAGCGAAGATAGCAAAAGAACTTTCTGAAATGTGACGTAACGACCGTGAACGCTCGTTTCTGTGGCATCAATTACAGCAAGATAAGAGCAATGGTAATGCCGAGATAAGAGGACAACGGCGACGAATCATTAATACGATCTTAGTGGACATTGAAAGTGACTAACGTGTGTTGCTTTATGAAAGAAGGATTATTTAGACTTTTTGCTATTTTTGTTATATAATAAGCTTTATCGGTATACTTACGGTTTACAAAATACCATAAAATATAGATAGATCAATGGTAATGCCGAGATAAGAGGACAACGGCGACGAATTATTAATACGATCTTAGTGGATATTGAAAGTGACTAACGTGTGTTGTTTTATGAAAGAAGGATTATTTAGACTTTTTGCTATTTTTGTTATATAATAAGCTTTATCGGTATACTTACGGTTTACAAAATACCATAAAATATAGATAGATCAATGGTAATGCCGAGATAAGAGGACAACGGCGACGAATTATTAACACGATCTTAGTGGACGTTAAAAGTGACTAACGCGTGTGTTGCTTTATGAAAGAAGGCTTATTTAGACTTTTTGCTATTTTTGTTATATAATAAGCTTTATCGGTATACTTGCGGATTACAAGTGATTCCCTCTCTTTGCGTCTTCTTACTGCCTCTGTAACTTCGCTGGGACTTAATTCTATTGCGACTACTTACATCACACACAAACACAGTGATCACTATTTATCAAAATACCGTAAAATATAGACAGAGCAATGGTAATACTGAGATAAGAGGACAACGGCGTCGAATTATTAACCTTTTGCACTCGAGTGGCTTCTCTGAGGCGACGCTGAAAATTGCTACACTATTTTCAAAATAATTTCCGCATTATTAAATTTGTCTGCATTCGATATATTGTCAAATAATAGAAGTATTTTTATAAGAACGCACGTTCAATTTCGTATGCATCAAATAAAACCAATCATATCAAATGGAAATATTGTAGGTTGA